ATTTACTGATGAAACTGAAAGAGCACAGCCTTCGGTATGGATTACATCTCAATGTAAAGAAAACAAAAATCCTCACAAAAGATTGAAGTTGTCAAGGAGTTCATTTTTCTTGGATCAACTATCAACACTCACGCAAGCTACAGTCAAGAAATAAGATTTGCATTAGGCAAATCTGCCGCACAAGACCTTTTTAAAATGTTGAAAAGCAAAGATACCAGCTTGAGGACTAAGGTGCTCCTGACCCAAGCCATGGCATTTTCAATAACCTCATATGTATGCGAAAGCTGGACAGTGAGCAAGGAAGACCATAGAAGAATTGATGCTTTTGAGTTATAGAGTTGGAGGAGAATATTGAAAGTGCCATGGCCTGCCAAAAGAACCAATAGATCCGTTTTGGAAGAAGTACAGCCAGAGTGCTCCTTGGAGACCAGGATGGCCAAACTTCGTCTCTCATATTTTGGACATATTGTCAGGAAGGACCAGTTGCTGGAGAAGTATATCATGTTCAGTAAGTTGGAGGGTCAGAGAAAAAGAGGAAGACCCCCAACGAGATGGATTGGCTAAGTTGCAACATTGATGGACTCAAGCGTGGCAACAGTAGTGAGGTTGGCCCAGGATCAGGCAGTGTTTCGTTCTGCTGTGCATAAGGTCGCTATGAGTCGGTACCAACTCGATGGTACCCAACAACAACAACAAGAAGTATCTAGTGATATATGGAATTGGATCTGAGTGGCATCTTCTGTTCTCTTCTTGACCCTTCTTCTACCTACCCACACCAATAATTTCTCATCCGTACTTATTTGGAATGATAATAAAACTGCTTCATAGTGTTATGCCCAGAATTCGGGGTCCCCAAAGACCACCAAGGAGCCGACACCGATGCAAGTGCACAAGGGTTGTTTATTCAAGCTCGAGCTCGGACTCCACCCGCATCCGATGCAGCGGATTAGGGATGGAGCCCTGAACTCCCAGTTGGCAGGGTTTTTATAGAGTTTTCAAGCAAGCTCAGGGTTTTTTAGCTTTTCAATATTTGGATTGGTTGACATTTGGCAAAGTATGAGGTGTTACAGTTTAATTGGTCAGTACTGGTGGTCTTTGTTTTTAGGCTAGGATAAGGAAAACATCTGGCATCTGGCCTTGGGTTGTCCTGTCTGCACTTATCTAGTTCTTGCTGTTGCTAGGGGTGAAAGGATATTCTAAGGCAGCATGAGCTGATTTAGCACGTTCCTGGAACAGGAGGACGTGTTCAGGCTAATATATAGAATGGAGTCTTTTCCTTAGGTCCTACAACAGCAAAGCTTTGCTGATCATTTTTGTTAGCAGGAAAATGTCGAAAGCCTTTTTTGGTTTATCATAATAATTACATAAATGTGAAGTCCCAGTGTTGTTGTTATTCAATGCCACTGACTCGGTTCTGACACATAGCTACCACTGTATATAGGGTTTCTGAGAAGTGTGTGGTAGATTTGAACTGCCAACCTGCAGTTCAAGCCAACCTTGTGCTTTATTTTACATTGCCACCCCAGGACTCCAAAGTACCAATATAATATGACAGTTTGGCTACCAAATCTCCAGATTTGCTAAAATAAGACCATTAGAACATTATTTTAAAATATAGCACATTACTCAATATGTAGCTAAGTGAACAGATCAGAGGTGGTATTTGCAAAAAGATATTTCAGTTCAGTAGAAAGTTAAGGTGTCTTCCCTATTTACTTATTGGTTTAGTCATGATAACATAGCACTTATTCTATATTAGCCAGTATTCTAAGTGCTTTACAAATCTACATCCTTATAATGATCCCACGAGGTGTAGATATTGTTGTTAGTCCCATTGTAAAGATCAATAGACCAAAACACAGGGAAGCTAATTAACTTGACCAAAACACAAGATTTGAACCCAGGTAATCTGACTTTTATCCATTCTTTTATCTCTATGCTTCCTCTAATTAATAAGTCTTATTTGTTAATTAGAAATTTAAAATCCAGTGCTAAAATATTTAAACACGTTCAAAATTGATGTTAAGTGGTTTAGCACAAGATTTTACTTGAAATAGTCATAGAATTGAAAACTTAATGTGATTTTAGAGATAATGAAATAATTGCAAAGTAACAACATAATTTAAAAAGCTTTAAAGTCTAATGATGTCGAGATTGAATGCAAAGATTGTGTGTGTGTGTGTGTGTGGTATTAGAAAACTTCTTTTCAAGGCAGAATGTAAAGGTTTTATTGGAGAGGAACAAGATGTTTTTATATAGAAGAGTTCTGGACATCAGCTTGATCGACTGTGTGACAGATGCAAGAATCAGGGTTCAGGAACAAACTAATTGACAATAGTTTTTTTAAAGGTTAAAATAAGTTTCAGTTTAGGGAACCCAGAAGCATCACAAAGAACAAGTTACTCTTCTTACTAGAAGATGATGGTGTATTCGACTGAAATTTTGTTTTTCTCTTGCAGTGAAAAAGGCAAAACTGTTCCTGGATATGACTTTTTGGTGAATTCTGTCTGGCCAGAAATAGTACAAGGATTAGAAAAAAAATTGCCTTCACTTTTTAATCCTGGAAATCCTGATGCATTTCATGAGGTAACCTCCCCCAAATGTTTTAATTATTTAAATTATCAGCTTGAGACTTTCAAATAATCATGTTCTTTTATTTTCTGGTCTTAATTCTATGATTTATTAAAAATTTAAGTTGCTTTGTTATTTTATCTAAGTTGCAATCTCTAATACTTTAGAAATAATTTTAATTTTAGAATGTACATTGTAATTCAATCTAGATAGGATCTTCTTTAAACAAGTTAGACAGTCATGTACCTACCTAGTCACAATTATATTTAGAACAATTAGAAGCCTTTGCAATAGTTTCCTTTGAAAAATTAGGTTTGCATACTGTTACAATGATATGATTAAATGAAACTGTATAACTTTGAAGAAAAGCACAAAGATTTTATTTGGGTTTTTTCAAATGTAGTGTATAGCAGAAAATACCTGAAATCTGTTTACGTATGCTTTATTGGTGATACAAAGGCTTTCAACTGTGTGGATCAAGACAAGCTATAGAAAACATTGCAGAGACTGAGTATTCTGGAACTCTAATTGTACTCTTGAAGAACTTATACATGGACCAAGAGACAGTTATTTGAACAGAACAAGAGGGACACTAAATTCTTTAAAATCAGGAAAGGTGTACACCAGGGTTGTAGTCAATCTATACACTGAGTAATAATCCAAGAAGGTGAATTATAAATGGAGGAAGAACATGGCATCAGGATTGGAAGAAGACTCATTGACAACCTGTGATACGCAGATGAGACAGCCTTGCTTGCTGGAAGCGAAGAGAATTTAAAATACTGATAAAAGGCAAAGACCACAGCCTTCAGTATGGATTTTACCTCAATGTAAAGAAAATGAAAGTGCTCACTACTGGACCAATAAATAACATTATGATAAATGGAGAAAAGATTAAAGTTATCAAAAGACTTCATTTTGCTTGGATCCACTATTGACACTCATGGAAGCAGTTCTCCTTTTTAAAGTTTTGGAAGAGCAAAGATATCAGTTTGAGACTAAGATGCCCCTGACCTAAGCCATGGCATTTTCAATAACTTCATATGAATGAGGAAGCTGGACAGTGAAGAAGGAAGACCATAAGAGACATGATGCTTTTAAGTTATGGTGTTGGAGAAGAATATTGAAAGTACTGTAGACTGCTAGAAAAGCAAACAAATCTGTGTTGGAAGAAGTACAGCCAGAATGTTTCTTAGACTTGGTCTCTTACGCTTCAGACATATTATTGGGAGAGGAACAGCCCTTGGAGAAGGACACCATGCATGGTAAAGTAGAGGGTTAGCAATAAAGGGGAAGACCCCCTATGAAATAGAATGGGACAGACAGTCGCATCAGCAGTGGACTCAAGCTTCACAACAGTTGTAGGAATGGTGCAGGACTAGACAGCATTTCATTCTGTTGTGCATAGGATCCCTATGAGTAGGAACCAACTCAAAGGCACTGACTAACAACAAGAGCAACAACACTGTACACACTAATGATGGAAGACCAGAGGAGTTGTAGGTTGGCATTAAAAACAGGCAGAAAGACAGCAAAAGATCATTAAAAAGACAGGAAATGAAAAGTAGATCCAACTGTTATTATTCATTATTAGATGCTATCGAGTCAGTACTGACCCATAGTAACCTTATGCAGAACGAAACACGGCTCAATCCTGGGCCAACCTCACTACTGTTGCCACGCTTGAGTCCAACGATGCTGCCACTTGGCCAGTCCATTAGTTCTGCCTCTTTTTCTCTGACCCTTCAGCAGCTGATCCTTCCTGACAATATGGCCTCCAGGGAGCACTCTGGCTGCACTTCCTTCTTCCAAAACAGATCTATTGGTTCTTTTGGCAGCACATAGCACTTTCAATATTCTCCTCCAACACCATAACTCAAAAGCATCAATTCTTCTATGGTCTTCCTTATTCACTGTCCAGCTTTTGCATGCATGTAAGGTTATTGAAAATACCATGGCTTGGGTCAGGCTCACCTCAGTCCTCAAGCTGACATCTTTTCACTTCAACACTTTAAAAATATCTTGTGCAACAGATTTGCCTGATGCAGTAGGTCATTTGATTTCTTGACTGCTGCTTGCGTTGAGTGTTGATAGTTAATCCAAGAAGAATGAAATCCCTGACAACTTCAATCTGTTCTCCATTGATAAGAATGTTGTTTATTGGTCCAGTGGTGAGGATTTTTGTTTTCTTTACATTGAGATGTAATCCATACTGAAGGCTGTGCTCTTTCATCTTCATCAGTAAATATTTTAAGCTCTCTTCACTTTCAGCAAGCAAGGTTGTATCGTCTGCATATCATAGGTTGTTAAGGAGTCTTCCTTCAATCCTGATGCCACGTTTTTGTTCATATAACCCAGATTCTCAGATTATTTGCTCAGCATACAGGTTGAATAAGTATGGTAAAAGAATACAACCTTGTTGCACGCCTTTCTTAATTTTAAAGCATTCAGTGTTCCCATGTTCTTTTCGAGCAACTGCTGCTTGGTCCAGGTACAGATTTCTCATGAGCGCAGTTAAGTGTTCCGGAATACTCATACTTTGCAATGTTGTCCATAGCTTTTCATGAGCCACACAATTGAAAGCTTTTGTATAGTCAATAAAGCACAGGTAAAAACATCTTTCTGATAGTCTCTGCTTTCTGACTCGATGGCACCTAACAACAACAATGGCTAGTGATCGTGAATGTTTCTTCATATGTTTGTTGACTGCCCAGATCTCCTCCTTGGTGAAGTGTCTGTTCATGTCCTGTGCCCATTTTTTAATTGGGTTATTTGTCTTTTTCTTGTAGAGGTGTTGTAGTTTCTTATATATTTTAGAAATGAGTCCCTTGTCTGATGTGTCGTTGCAAAAGATTTTCTCCCATTCTGTGGGTTCCCTTTTTACTCTTCTGGTGAAGTCTTTTGATGCACGTAAGTTTTTAATTTTTAGTATGTTCCAGTCATCTATTTTGTCTACTTTTGTTTGTATAGTTTTCAGAATGTTTGGTAGTCTGTATATTCCCTGAATTAGAGCTCTCTCATTTTGCCCTATTTTTCATTGATGGCCTTCATAATTCTGGGATTCAGATTTGGGTCTTTAAACCATGCTGAGTTGGTTTTTGTATAAGGTGTGAGGTGAAGGTCTTGTTTCAATCTTTTGCATATTGCTTTCCAATTCTGCCAGTACCATCTGTTGAAGAGACTGTCCCCTCCCCATGCGATATATTTAGGCACTTTGTCCAAAATCAGTTGGTTGTATGTGTTAATTTCTGGATTCTCAATTCTGTTCCATTGTTCATTGTGTCTTTCATTGTATCTGTACCAAGATGTTTTGACCACTGTAGCCATGTAATAAATTTTGAAATCGGGGAGTGAGAGGTTTCCAACCTTACTCTTCTTAAGCAGTGCTTTGCTTATCCTGGGTCTCTTTCCTTTCCATATAAAGTTTGTAATTGTTTTTTTCCATCTCTTTGAAGAATGTTGTTGGAATCTGGATTGGGATTGCATTATATGTGTAAATTGCTTTGGGCAGTATTGACATTTTCACAATATTAAGTGTTCCTGTCCAGGAGCATGGTGCATTCTTTAATTTTTGTAGGTCTCTTTTGGTTTCTTGTAGTAGTGTTTAGTGTTTTTTAGTTTTCTTTGTATAGGTCCTTTGTATCTCTGATTACATTTACTCCCAGATATTTCATCCTTTGGGTGGCCACTGTAAATTGTATTGCTTTCATAATGTCCTTTTCAGCACTGTTGTTGGTAAAGAGGAATCCAACTGATTTTTGTATGTTGATCTTATACCCTGCCACTTCGATGAATCTTCCAATGAGGTCTACTAGCTTTTTTACTGAGTCTTTAGGTTTTTCTACATATAGGATCATATCGTCTGCAAATAGAGAGAGTTTTACTTCCTCTTTGCCAACATGGATGCCTTTACTTTCCCTGTCTAGCCGTATAGCTCTTGCTAAGACTTCCAACACAGTGTTGAATAGGAGTGGTGACAAAGGGCATCCTTGTCTCGTTCCTGTTTGCAGTGGGAAGGCTTTTCAGTTTCTCTCTATTGAGAGTAATGTACGCTGTTGGTTTTGTGTATATGCTCTTGATTATGTTAAGGAAGCTGCAAGCCACCACATAATATGGATAAACCTTGTGGTCATTATGCTGAGTTAAATTAGTCAATCGCAAAAGGAGAAATACTGTATAAGACCATTGTTATAGAAGACTAAGAAAAAGAACCCACCCAAAAGGGGAGCAGACTATATATAATTGCTGATCCCCAGGATATATGGGATGAGAGGAGGGGAGGGAGAGAGGGAAGGAGAGAGCACAGGGTAGGGAATAGACAGAAAAGGTTGGATGCTGGGGTGCGGGTGGGGCTGGAAATACATAAGAAAAGGGAGGGGAATAGAAGAACAAGGTGGATGGGAGAACAGTTAGGCAGGTTCACATGAGCTAAGTGGGACAGAGGTAAATGATGATGTATACACAACCTTGGAATAACAGGGCTTCAGGATGCAGAGATTGAGGTATGGTTTGAAAGGATAAAAGAGGGGAATAGTATTAAGATGCTTGGCTGTCTTTGAATCTTGGTTTCCCTTCCCTACCATTGGGGGCCGGGGGAAGGAATAGCCAGAAACATCACAATAGAAAGCTTGTAAGCCGGTCTTCAGCATGTAATTGATTGGAATACCTTAAAGGGGGCTAGAAATTGTCCAGTGAAAGAGACCTCCTATGGAGCTTGTGCATTGCATAAGACCATAGGTGGAAACCAGAATCCCATCCAGAATTGTCTGAGGTGGGAAATTTCCATTGGAAAGGACAAGTAGACCAGCCTGGAGCGGCTAGAAGAACAGAAGATACTTCGTGAAGAAAGACCAGCAGGAAAAATTAGAAACAATAATGGCAGTATGCTTGATTACTACAAGAACAGACGGCTCTCGCCCAGGAGCCATCAAGGCAAGTGGTCGGGTCCCCTCAGAGCCAACTCCCTTCCAAGATTAAGACTCAAGGGGAATACACAAACAGGCATATGGTCTGGT